ATGTATAATTGTTCATAATTGTCTTTTATGTTCCTTTGTATTTATGTGGTATCAGTTGTAATGTCTCCTTTTTCATCTGATTTTGAGTTTCTTTTGTTCTTAAAGGTTTGTTGACTATCTTTTAAAGAAACCAACCCTTCATTTCGTTGATCTTTTGTATTGTTTTTCTAGTTTCTATTTATTTTCGCTATCGTCTTTATTATTTCTTTTCTCCTACTAATTTTGGGTTTACTTTGTTCCTGTCTTCTAGTTCCTTGAGGTGCAATTGCATTACATTTCTACTGACCAGTACTGTGCCAGATAGATGACCAGCCAATACTTGAGTGGTTATCACATGGCAGAAGCTGTTTAACCACCTAAAAGTACTTTAGACCTAGCATGCCCACACTTCCTATGAGAAAGGTAACAATGTCCCCACTTTACAGAAAGCGAAGCAGACACACTAGAGATTAATTTGTCTGGAACTACAGAGCTAGTAGGTGGGATCTGAAGTCTGTGGCAGTCTGTATCCAAAAAGCAGACCTTTACCTCTATTATTTTGATAGAGACAGGGGACAGCCAAATGCCTAGGCAAATAGGGAAGGGTCCCTGAAGAACCTCCAACCTGCCCAAGTCATTGTGCACAGGGGGTTTGGCTAAACATGCCCACAGTGAAAAATTCCATCCCTTAACACATGTGCAGTAAGGGAAATAAATCAATGTGGAGTGGCTCAGACTAAGGGCCCACATGCACACTGGAAGAATGAGGAGGAGCCACCAGGAATTCACACCTTATGCAGGGGAGGAGCCTGGCCTTTTCAACTTGTGTGTGGTAGCCTGGTATTCAATTTGTGAGGTGGAAACCTGTGTTTTGGATCCCTCTTTTTTGTTAAGAGCTTTCCTTTTGCTTAATTAATTCCATTCTCCTCACCCTTCAATGTGTTCGCATGCCTAATTTTTCCTGGTCGTGAGACAAGGACCCAGATTTAGCTGAACTAAGGAGGAAGAAATCCTGCATCAATTTTAATAAATTGCATAACTGATGAAGGCAGGAAGAGACTCACACTTAACCTGAAAGAAATCCCAGAAAGTTTAAATAAGCACCCTTTACTCATGTTTAAATCAAAGTACTAAAAACTAGAACTGCTCAATAGCATATGAAGATTTCTTTTCAACACCAATTTGATGTAAACACTGAGCACCTACCAACATGTGAACTCTGAATTAGTCACAGGGGCTACAAAGACTGATAACAACATGCTCCCTTCTTTGATAAAGTCATAAGGTAGTGGGTGGGTTTGTCTGGTAGGGGCAGGGGTTTGGGCAAGAGAGAGAAACGAGACAAATGTGATAAGACAGACATGTGATAAGAAAAAGGCAACAGTGTTCTCTGTATTTCTCCTCTAGTTTTCTTTCCCATTACTTAAAGTAAAAGAAGAAAACATTTTTTCCCTTCCTCAAATAAGACACATTCAGAGTGTTTGTCCCCAGGCAGACAAACTTTGTTCTTTCCAAAACAAATTGAGAAGTACAGGAAGTACCACACAGACTGACACTACAGTGCCATCCTATCGGGTACCCCAGGATCCAATAATCCTGAGGCCACAGCAATTACCTCATGCTCTCCACACTTGAAAAACAGAATTAAAGCATAATTTTCCTCAAAGTCTAAACTTATAGAGGAAATGGAGCTTAAGAAAAATGTATTGGCTTGTTATTGTTTGGGAATGTCCCCTTTTCTCAGTCCTTCAGAAAGACCCAAAGAGGTGGCTCAGCTAAAGTTGTTCCCATAGAACCAGTTTCTAAAAACAAGAGAAATTACTGAAGCATATGGCTTAGGCAACCTACATTGGAATTTTCCAATAGAACCTCCCAGTTTCTAGCAAGCTGAGTGAATGAGAAACCAGGAAATGGGGTTTTGTTTCCAACCACTTCAGTACAAGGTTTATGTTACCTTCTAGTGGGTCTTCATCTTGGTTTTCAGCTAGAGGTGTGGTTTCCTGCAACAAAAAATTATCTCATGAGAAAATAATTTCACTTAAAGGTTTAATATCAATACATACTTTATTGGGAAAAACTCTAGTTCTCAAAAAAACTACCTAAAATAAAAATAATATTGAAAATTAATCTCTTTAAATCAACTTTTGAATTTGATTCAAAGAATCTTTAGGTGACAGTACAATTATGAAAGAAGTAAACTGAGTCACAGAAGAAATGTCACAAAGAGAAGCCAGCCTAACAAGGGCCTCTGGCCCCTGGATTTTCTGGGACCTAACTAGCATCCTAGAGCCTGAGCTAGGAACCAGACAGCAGGGACCCTGGAATCCAGGCTCCTTATTTCCTGTACTACATGCCTGTACCTCGAGTTCTGCTCCTCCTTCCAGAAGACAATCTGTAAAGTCTCCATGAACACGTTTTCCTCATGGCCTTCTAATCATGTCCTCAAACCCATGGCTCAGCTAAGAATCAGGACATTAGGTGCTCAAGAAAATGCAGAGGCTACAGCAAAGCAAACCAATCATATTCTTACATAATGAGAGAAGTAAACTGCAGAGGCACTCCCAAAGTAAATCTTGGTTGGTTAACCCAGAGCCTGTTGGCTCTACTGGGGCAGCATACGTTTTTATGATTCCTTTATGTAGACCTGTTGGGAACCTGTATTTTTAAGGATGGCCAGCTATTCCAAGGAATCATTCTATCAAGAAAGGGCTGATCTAGCTCCTGGCACCTAATTAAGCTTCTCTTGCTAATAAGAATGACAAGATACTAAGAGCCAAAGACTTTTCAGTCTATCTGAAAGTATGCCTCCTCTTCACTCTGAAATATATTGAGGTTTGGAAAATAGGTTATATAGTTACCATAAATTTCAAAAGACAATCTGTGTCTTTTTTCTACTTAGATATGGCTAAGACACCAGGCATGGTGGCATGCAGCCGATAGTCTCAGCTACTTGGAAGGCTGAAGCAGGAGGACCACTTGAACCCAGGAGATCAAGACTGCAGTGAGTTATGATGGCACCACTGTACTCTAGCCTGGGCAAAAGAGCAAGACATCATTTCTAAAAACTAGTTATATAAGAAGGAAAGAAAGAAATGGCTAAAACACCCAGAATCCACACTTCCATAAGTCCTCTCCTATAATACAAGACTAAGTAAGCTCACACTTCCTCCTTTCAATGTGTGTTCTGGTAAATGTGGATGCTAAATAACGAGGATGAGGGAAGCAGGAACTATCTGGAGACAGAGCATTCTCTCTGGTCTGAGGGCCACCTGCGCTGTGTATGCAGCTGGCTGCCTTTAAACAAAAGCACATTTATAAAAGGCTTTCCTCAGCTAGAGATAGTCTGGGAAAGCATGCTGATGGACCACAAAGACCTGAGAATCACTTTGGAGACACCCACCTCCACAATGTCAAAATGTAAAGGAGAGGACTGGAGATCTCCCCTTTAACCTGGGGAGATAAAGGTTATGGACAGAGGCACAGCACATTGGGGGAAGCAGGGAATAACTAGGACATCTTGGAGAGGACACGCTTTATTAGAGAAGACCAAAATGGGGACGTGTGAGTAAAAGAGCGCCACCACGGAGCCTTATCATCTTTAATTTTGCTCAGCAGCTTCGCAACAGGGAACACCCAGCAGGATGGCAGGCAGATGGCACAGTGGGGTCACCACAACCACAAAAGATAATATATTTCTATAATTCTTATACGAAAAAAATGCATGTTATAGTAATAATTTGGCTGGAGGGTGAGATAAAAATCCCAGAACATGCCAACAAAAAATGGACAGAGGAATGGAGAGAAAGGGTAGCCAGGTGAGAAAAAAAGGATGTTCATTTCTTAATTTTCTCAAGAGTGATGAAAAATCAAGAAATACTTTCGTTTCTGAAGTTGATAGTATACTCATTCTTATATTTCTCTATTTAATGATATAAGGGTAACCACCAAAAGACACTGTCTCCCAAAAAAGAGCAAAAAGGGAAGAGGCGAAAAAAAAAAAAAAAAAAGAGTGCCAAAACCTCAGGCAATGTAGTGAAAGATTTTTGTTTTTTAAGTGCTGCAATATCTAACATTTGTTAAAAGGGAAAAACCCAAATTGGGTCAAAAGGGGGAAAAAATGACAAGAAATCTAACAAGATATTTTATACAAGAGGCACAACTAAAACAGACTTGAGAAAAATTGAAAACGCAAGTTTGGGCAGTAAAATATCATAATATAAAGCAAATGTAAGTTTTAAAAGCCAAGGGACTAGATATAAAATTCAACTTCGGTTTTAAGGCAAAGATCACACAAACGGTGTCACTCCGAATATTAGGAGACAAGCCAGGGTGGGGGAAGTCCATAACATTTAAACTCCAAAATGTTAATTTCTCTAACATGTGAATATCTTACGCAGTCAAGCAAGAGGGACATAACTCAACAGAAAAACTAGAAAGAGGATATCAAAGTCACAGAACACAGATGCCAATAACCATTTCAAGAGGTATTTGCCCTCAATAATAGACAAATGCCTCTCTGCCCTATTAGATTGGCTAATCATACACAGAGAAACGTAGAGTAGCAAGAACACCCACCACAATAATGAAAAGTACAAATTTATGCAGACTTTAGGTAATTTGCTATTAAAAATTTTTAATGTTATATCCTTTAATCCAGCCCTTTCACATCCAGAAATATATTCTTGGGGGAAAAAAGCAACACTCAGACAAATGCTTGAAGATAAGTAAAAAAGTTTGTTAAAGCCCTGAAAATATTTAAAATGTCAGATAACGGATGAGCTAAAAATCACACTGTGTCTAAATGAGCTCACTCTATTGCTCAGGCTGGAGTACAATGGCACAGTCATGGCTCACTGCAGCCTCCAACTCCCGAGCTCAAGTGACCATCCTGCCTCAGTCTCCCAAGTAGCTGGGACTACCCGCGTGAGCCATCTTGCCCAGACCGTAAGTGTGCAATTTTTTAAAGAAAGGTCTCCTTATGCAGAAGCAAAGAGCAAACCAGTATGTACTACATAGTTCATTCTTGCCTAAATCATCCCCTAACCACCAAAACAGAAAGACGAACCACACTGATTTAACAAGAGTACAGGAGAAAGATCTAGAAGACATAGATCCACTCCACAGTACTTTCTTCTAAGTGGGAGGGGAATGGGGAAGAAGGAGGGGTGTTTGAGGGGGAACTTTTCCCTTACTTCAATACATCTTTGTGTGATTTGAGAAATATGTCATTTCAGTAATTCAAACTATTAAAATATCTTTTTAAAGTGTATTTATGTCCAGCTGCTATAAAACAAACCCCAAAACCACCTTTTGTCCTATATTAAGTGTTAAAGAGTAAAATATATTGAATTATGATAATCTAAAATTTAGTAGCAAGAATTTAGACAAAGACTTCATTAGGCTTTTGTTTTGTTTCTGGAAGAGAATGGGAAATTATCTGCAAGTGAACACTTCTAGGTTACACATGTCCAAACTCAGCAAAGCATATAAATTAAACAGGTACAGAGACTTTTTGTGTATTATACCTCAACAAAGCTATAAAAAATTTTTCTTAGGTTATCAGCTTTACTCTCTAGTATTAAAACAGGTAGCAAAAGCCATGCTGTGGGAATTTGGATGACAGGACACAGATGTGTGAAGATAGGAAAGTGATGTTTACTATTATTGGGCATACAAATGACACAAGATTCATTCCAGCAAGGGATACCTTAGGCATAACCAGAGTTCCAGCTGTGTGTTCAGGAGTCTCATGCGCAGAAAAACAGTCCCGTCCATTTCCATCCACTGCACAGCCATAGCTGTAGCCAGAAAGAAGGTATGAGCTGTGCTGTCGCGCATACCAGTTGCCATAGAGGTAACCCTGGTTGGGCTGGAACTCCTGCTTCACTCTAAAAGCAGATGGGAGACTACAGGAATGAGAATCGTCACCAACCAATGCAGAATCATCCACAAACCCCCAACCCCTTTCTTTTCTCCAGGAAGTTTGCAATAAATTGAATACCTGTGTTCAAAGCCATAGTTTGATACCTAATGTAGATGACGGGTTGATGGGTGCAGCAAACCACCATGGCACATGTATACCTATGTAACAAACCTGCATGTTCTGCATCTGTACCCCGGAACTTAAATAAATTTTTAAAAAGCCATAGTTCATAAGTTACCAACAATTATGTAGCAAATAGAACAGTAACAGCTTTCCTTTTCAAAGTAGGAGGAAAACACTCACTTTTGCCAGTAGCAGTAATAGTTATTTTGTTGAGCTATGCCAAAACCTGCAAAACTCTCTCGTTGGGCCATTTATCCAGAAACTTTACAAAAAGAGAGCAGAATCCAGTTTTTATTCCCACGTCAAAAATTCCAGCTTGTGGGCTAAAACCTCTCAACCCTGACAAATAAGTCTCGCAACTACATCTGAGAGAATTACATTTAGTGGCAATTCCTGCTAGGCAATTAATTGCTTGACTTTCCTGACAAACGGGGCAAAGGTGTGGGTGGGGGAGGGGTGTACTGAGGCACCTGGGGGTATTTCTGGCTTCCACCTGCCAGCCCTCTCTACCAACTGTCAGGCCAGGGGGAGTCAGCAGAACCCCAAGGAGGGACAGAAGGGGTAGGTGTGTTGGTCGACAATGAAGGATAGTCTCCACTCCATCCCTTACCACAACACAAAAAAGAGGAAACTTTAGTAACTAAAACCTTAAGACAAACACATTTCTCTCCTCAGCTACCTGCTGAGAGTAACTATTGGAACTAGCACCTACTGGCTTTTTCTTTTCTTAATCCCATGCAGGTGGAAAGCATCATCCAACTAGCTACAAAATTAAGAGGCAGAGAAGAATGTGCTCCCTC